GGGTTTAATATAGGGGCCTTGATAATAAAAATAGGGTTTGGGGGTATATTTTACCATAATTATAAGGAGCCCCCCCAAAACAAAATGGCATGGGTAATTGTAGGGCCCTACATTAAGGAGTCTGGGGTTTGTGGTTGCGTGGCTTTGCGTTTAGGAATTTTGCGGCTGTGGGGTTCAGGGTTTAGCGTTTTGGGGGTTTAGGGTCTGTGGGCTGTAAGGGTACGAGCTTCTGCTAACGAAGCGCAACAGTCCAAAAGAGCCAGAAATGAGGTATTTGGGTTTAGGAAAATCCTTTTGTAGGCTAGTATTTGGGAGAACTTACGAGTATTGGCTACTTGGACCCTTAACAACTCAAAGAAAAACTTCGAGGCACCTCAAAGAAACCCACCCGGACCTTCCAATATCCCGTAATTAAGAAACATACCTTAAAACGCTTGAAGAATGTATAGTTTAAGTGTTGGGTATGTGCCTTAGTTCCCTTATAAGATCCCTTTAAGGGACCCTGTAACGGATGTTCCTTAATCAAGGGATATTGGAACGTCTGGGCAACCCAACGCACCCCCATCCCACTACCCTAACCCCAAACCCCTAAACCCTAAACCCTAAACCCCACTGCCACAGAGCCGCATGGTGCTCGCACCGTGCAGGATCAGGCCAAAGCAGTCCTTGAGGTCGACGTGGTCCTTGTGTTCGGTCGAGTCATATATATATATATATAAAGAGAGAGAGAGAGAGAGAGAGAGAGAGACACACACACACAGAGACAGAGACAGAGACAGAGAGACACAGAGAGACACAGACAGACACAGACAGACACAGACGGAGACAGAGAGAGACGGACAGACACAGACGGACAGACACAGACGGAGACAGACAGAGACGGACAGAGACGGACACAGACAAAAAGAGAGACAGAGAGCGAGAGAGACAGAGAGAGAAAGAGAGAGACAGAGAGAGACAGAGAGACGGAGAGACGGAGAGACTAAGAGTGAGTGAGCTGAGGCGAGGTGAGGCGAGGCGAAGGGTGAGGTGAGTAGGTGAGTAGGTGAGTAGGTGAGTAGGTGAGTAGGTGAGTGGGTGAGTAGGTGACTCGGTGAGTGCGTGCGGAGTGAGTGAGTGCGTGTGTGCGTGAGTGGGTGAGGGAGTGAGTGCGTGCGTGCGTGAGGGAGTGAGTGCGTGCATGCGTGAGTGAGTGAGTGAGTGTGTGGGTGAGTGAGGAGTGAGTGAGGAACGAGCGAGCGAGCGAGCGAGGGAGGTGAGTGAGTAAGCGGAGTGGAGTGGAGTGGAGTGGAGTGGAGTGGAGTGGAGTGGAGTGGAGCGGAGCGGAGTGGAGTGGCTGACTGACTGACTGACTGACTAAGTAAGTGAGTTGAGTGAGTGAGTTGAGCGAGTGAGTTCACTGAGTAAGTGAGTGAGTGAGTTGAGTTGAGCGAGCGAGTGAGTCAGTGTGTGAGTCAGTGAGTCAGTGCATGACTGAGTGAATGAGTGACTGACTGACTGCCTGACCGACTGACTGAGTGATAATGAGCGGGTGGGTGGGTGAGTCAGTGAGTGAGTGAGTTGAGCGAGCGAGTGAGCGAGCGAGCGAGGGTAGTAGTAGTAGTAGTAGTAGTAGTAGTAGTAGTAGTAGGAGTAGTAGGAGCAGCAGGAGCAGCAGCAGCAGCAGCAGCAGCAGCAGCTGCAGCAGCAGCAGGAGGAGTAGTAGTAGTAGTAGTAGTAGTAGTA